TATGCTGAGCAAATAATCCAAGAAGCTGGACTATATGAAGAAGAGCATGGCATCACTATTGGACGAAGACTCATTAGCAACCTGTGATAAGCAGATGACACACCTTGCTGGCTGAAAGTGAGGATGACTTGAAGCACTAATGAAGATTGAAGAATACTGTCTGCAGTATGGATTACACCTCAACATAAAGAAAATGAAAATCCTCACAACTGGACCATAAGCAGCATCACGACAAATGGAGAAAAGATTGAAGTTGTCAAAGATTTCATTTTACTTGGATACACAATCAACACCTATGAAAAAAAACAGTTAAGAAATTAGACATCATATTGCACTGGGCAAATCTTCTGCAAAAGACCTTTTTAATGTGTTGAAGAGCAAAGATGTCTCTTTGGAAACTAAAGTGTGCCTAACCCAAGCCATGGTATTGTCAATAGCCTCATATGCATGTGAAAACTGGACAATGAACAAGGAAGACTGAAGAAGAGTTGATGCCTTTGAATTATGGAGTAGGTGAAGAATACTGAAAATACCATGGACTGCCAGAAGAACAGACAAGTCTGTCCTGGAAGAAGTGCAGCCAGAATGCTCCGTAGAAGCAAGAATGGCCAGACTTTGTCTCACATACTTTTTTTTTTTTTTTTTTGTGATTTGGGTGAAAATTTACAGAGCAAATTCATTTTCTGTACAGCAGTTCACATACATTTTGGGTCATGACATTGACTGCAATCTCCCACAATTCAACAACTCTCCTCCCACCTCTTCCCTGTGTCCTTTCCTCCCATGTACTTCTGCCCTCTGAGCTATCTCCCTGTGCACATACAGCCCTTCTATTCTCCCAGGATTGATCTGTCTAAGGAGTGTATCTACCTAATGTAAATGTTCAACTCATATGCCTGTTTTTTCTTTGTCTGGAAGCCACTGGAGTGGGTTCAGTTCCAGACCTGAAGGGCAGTTAGGGGCCATAGTCTCAGTGGTTCCACCAGGCTCTATCAGACCAGCAAACCTGATCCTTTTTTTTTTTTTTTCCCCAAATGATTTTGAGTTTTGTTCCACATTGTTCTCCCACTCTATCCAGGATCTCCTATATAGATCCCCCTCCAAGTGGTTGACAGTGTCTCACCTACGTTTGTCATGTTGTCAGAAGGGACCATTCCCTGGAGAAGGATATCATGCTTGGTAAAGTGAAGGGTCAGCAGAAAAGGGGAAGACCCTCAACAAGATGGATTGACACAGTGGCTACAACAATAGGCTCAAGTATAGCAAGGGTTGTGAGGATGGCACAGGAGAAGGCAGTTATATATAGAGTCACTATGAGTTGGAGACAACTCGATGGCACCTAACAACAACAACATTATCTGTTTTATAGATTCTTGGTGGATTAAATGAAATAGGCATATAATGTCTTTACTATAGAATCTAGCGGGAGCTCTGTTGGCATAGTGCCTAAGGCATTTGACTGCTAACCAGAAGGCTGACAGTTCAAACGCACCAGCCATTCCTTGGAAGGAAGATGGGCAATCTATTTCTGTAGAGATACCGCCTCAGATACCCAAGGAAGGGTTGCTATGAGTCGGAAACAACGACGATGGTGAGTTTTTTTTTTTTTTTTTTAAATAGACTCTAGCACATAATAGTTGTTGTTGTTATGTGCCATCAAGTTTGAACCTGCCTCACTGCAACCTCTCCTTAGGTTTCCGAGGCAGTATCACTACAGAAGTAGATTGCCCAACCTTCCTTCCAAGGGGTGGCTGGTGGGTTTGAACCGCCAGCCTTCTGGTTAACAGTCAAGAGCACATAAGCACTCAATAAACATTAGTTATTGTGTTGGGAGTCCCTAGGACCACTCCCAGTTTTAATGATTTGCTAGGAGGAATCACAGGATTCAACATATAGTTGTACTCATGTCTATGATTTAGTACACTGAAACAACATAAAGCAAAATCAGTGAAGAGAAAACGCACAGGGTGAAGTCTGTAGGAAACCAGGTGCAAGTTTCCCAGTCCTTTCACAGTGTACTTACCCACCAAATCAAAACCCACTGCCATCCAGTTGATTCTGATGCATAGTGATCCTGTAGAATGGAGTAGAACTGCCCCATAGGCTTTCCAAGGTTGTGATCTTTCTGGAAGCAGACTGCCACATCTTTTTCCTATAGACTGGCTGGTGAGTTCAAACTACGTTATCTTTTGTTTAGCAGCCAAGCACTTTAACCACTGTGCCACGAGGGCTCTTGGAATAACACAGATGTGCTTAATTCCTTCAGCAACAAATTGTGACAGCATGAGTAAAATATTATCTACCAAGGAAATGTATTAGAGGACCAGTGCCCAGTGGTTTTATTGGGGGTTAGTCACATATGCACTCTGGCTGGTATGTACCAAAGTTCCAGGCTCCTGGGAGTAAAGCAGGTGTTCTGCATAAACAGTATTTTTGCATAAATAGTTCAGGTAGGGAGAGCCACTCTTGTCACTTGGGAACAGTGAAAAGTTTCCTAAAACCTAGTAGCAAAGTTCAACAAGACTGAAAATAACAAATGCTGGCAAGGATGTGGAGAGATTGGAACTCTATACACTGCTGGTGGGACTGTAAAATGGTACAACCATTGTGGGAAGCAGTATGGTGATTCCTTCAAAAGTTGGAGTTAGAAATACCATTTGACCCAG